GAAGTGGCAAAAATGTCCACTGTGGGGACAGACCTGAACGGTCACAGTACCCCTGTTTCGTAACAGATATAATCATTCCCATTTTATTGTGTAATGAGGATTAAATGAGAAATAATGTGCTCAGCACAGGGCTTTATCCATATGAGTGCTCGATAAATGTTTGGTTTTTACTGTTTGATTTATGACAAAGAACTAAGACCAGGAAGGGCTAAAGTCCAAGCCAATGAAATCAAGAGAATTCCAGAGGGAGCTCACTGGAATGGAAAGCACCACTGAACCCAATCTTATGAGATGCTCCAAACAGGAAATTCACACTGACTATCCACACTAAGTAAAGCCACTTGATGACTGGCACAAGGCCTGACTCTCTCAAAAAAAAAAAAAAAAAAAGAGAGTGTATTTCTTTAAGCAAATGCTGGTGATGAGCTAAGTGGACAATCTTAACCACAATCACATCAGAGATCAGGCCTCTGATGGTTTATCTGTAAAAAAGAAAGCCATTTACTCTATAAGCACTGGATGTCATAAATTTTTCCAGCTAAGTTATTCTTCAACTTATCAAATCATGCACTGCCACATGTTATTTCGTAAATGAGGCCTAGAGTGTCAGAAAGAAAAATCTGTGCTTAAGGGCTACGGAAATCATACAGCCTCAAAACCTCTGAGCTCAAATGTAGCCCTGCCCCTTCTGCCCCTGCCAAAGGTCAACATGGAGAGGGAAGGGGCACTGAGGAGTGGGGAGAAGTGCCCTCGGCAGGTTCAGCACCCTGTGCTGGCCCTCACTGATGGAGGGTTCCATAACCAAGGGTAGCCAACGGACTTCGCACAGCCAGCAGGCCCCTACCAGACACCAGCCCACTTCGAGCTAACTGCCTGGGAAAATCAAGCTGTACCTTCAGGGGAAGATAAAGGAGGAGCTATTGGATAGAGTGGCCTAACCCGCCCACCCAGCTAGGCTACACAGACCCTTCCAAAAGCACTAACAACCCTGTGCCAAAACCACATGGAGGCCAGAACAAAGAGTACAGCTGTAGGGAGTGAAAAGGAGAAAAAGGAGGAAGAGAGAGAGAAAAAAATGGAAAAGGAAAGTCAGGGGCTCATTTTTATTCATCAAATACTGATACAGTGCTTTCTGTTTGCCAGGTTCTGTTCTAAGCACTTTATAAATACTCAGTTAATCCTCACTATCAGCCTCATTTGACAGAAGAGGGAAGCTAAGCACAGATGAGTCCATGTCCTAAGAGAACATGGCCAGCACGTGGCAGGGCCAGGATCTGAACCCAGGCAGCCTTGCACCAGTCCCTGCACTTAACCAACCCCCAACAGGAAAGCCTTAGACCCTGTTGTAATGTGAGTATCTGGCCCAAGGGTGTTAACTTCCCATCAAAGGGCCTCATGGAATGTTTATAGCTCAACAACTACCTATTCTTAAAATATCAGATATGTTTTTGTGAATAAACATAGAGCAGAGAAAGATTGAAGGAAGTGGTTTTCCTTTGGCCCATCAATAAATTAAAAGCAAAGTAACAGCCAGTATTTGGCCAGTAAGCCCAGGAGTGCCCATAGGCCAGCATTAGAGTCTTCACTATTGCACCAAGGGTTGTCAGGAACAAGAAATTTAGGTGAGATAATTATAAAAAAACTAGCTTTGGGAAGGAATGTTGTTATAGTAACTATGAAAGCTGGTCAAACACTCCACCAGGATAACTGGCTTGGAGTGAATTCAGGAACTAGCAGCCACATAAATTCTGGCCCCTCTGACTCTCAGGACATGTTGCCCAGTCTGGCTCACCCCACCAGTCTCCTTTTCCATTATAGGGCCTTCTGCCTCGGAGCTCCCTCTTGTCTCTCTTTGCAATTTAACTTCTCTTAGCTCTGCCCTGCCCCTTGCCCAGTTCTCTGGACAATCCATCCCGATGGTGGATGTGGTTTGATTGCTGTTCCCTTCAGAGGCTGCCCAGCTCCACGTAAGCTGCCCACCTTACCAGGCTCTCAGCTCCAGTCCATCACACATGCCCTGCTGTGAAAAACATGAATCATGGCATTGAGAAAACTGAGGTGGTTGCATCAGTTCTTCCCGAGAACGGCTTGCATAAAAGTGCGCCATTACCTCAGTCCAGATGTTTTAGGGGCAAGAATGGCCTGGGCAAAGCTCTCAGTGTCACCCAGCCTTTCATCATTCTATCCTTTTGTGAGCTGGCCGGCCCAAGACAATAACGACTTTCTGAGTTCCCATTTTATTCTAGTTGTGTGCTTTTCTTCCATCAGTGCCTCTCTGACCCTGCTTTTGAAGATCCCGCTGCAGCCCCCGCCCCCAGGAGTTCTTCCTGCCTTTGTTCCCTGGCCGTGTGCTGTTTGGTTAGGGTGTTCTTTGTGTCCTGATGATATGCCTCATGTTGCTCTCATCTTCCTTGGTTCAGGGACGATATCTCTCTGTGCTTCAGAAGCACAGGAGAAAAAAAATTCTTTGATACACAATGAACTATATGACACGAAGGTGTCTTCGAAGGCCTCCCACAAATACAGAAAAGTACCCATATAAAAATAGACAATAAATGGGCTTCAGCTATCGGCTGCTGTGAGCTTTCTGGGAGCATTACAGTATAAAGTCTGGCCACAAATAAATAGCGTACTTGGGGCTAGGTTGTTTTATCATGGAGGGAAAAAATGCAGCTGTGGAAATTAACCAAGATCAGAGGAGGACAGGATCCTTAGAGAGCCCCATGTGTTAGTGGGGACCGCTGTCTTCCTCCAAGTCAGGCAGGGGTGAGTGGGAATGGTTCCCACGTGTTTGCTCAGAACTTCCTCCCCTCCAGCTCCGCTGCCCAGTCAGTTGTGCTGACTTGTCTGCAGGAGGCAGCGGAGGGAGCAGAAGCAGCAAGGATGGACTCTCCCAGATACAAAGAGGCCAACGGAGGGAATTAGGGCTAGGGTTCTGCCAGGGCAGTTACAGCACAGGGAGCCCCAGGGTAAGCCAAGTGGTCAGCCACATGGCCTTCTGCCATTACATGGGCATATGTCCCACCTTCTAGTCCGGCTGTGATTCTCCACAGCAAGGCCACTGCAGAACCCAGCAAAGGCTGACTGTTGAAACACAAAACTGACTGCCCCCCACACCCACCTGCCATCCGTCTGTGGGACCTGTACTGGGACCAGGCTCTCAGAATTACTGAAACAACCACATGATTGCCTGGCTTGCTCTTCCTTGCTGTGAGCCAGAAAGGATACAGGAAACAGGAAAGCATATCACCTGCTGGTCTGGGGTCCCTACCTGGGCCAAGGAGAATATGTTGCTCTTGTTCTTAGAGACTACTATGAATGATGCTACCCAAAAAGCCTTATTTGCAGCTGATGTTTGAATCACAGAATTATCAGGCACTACTGCAGGGCCAAATAAACCTTTGACCGTGACCTTAAAGGTCACTGGGCTGCTGCCTGAGTTCCCAGAAACTGGAAACAAGAACGTGTTGCCACCTGCACTGAGAATTTTTTTGTATAGCTTCATTTAAACTGTTCTTATAATGAAAAGGGAATGTTTCACATGCCCCCTTAAAATCCAATGATGCAAATGAGATGAAAATTGGCAATGTTATGCTCCAAAGTGATCAGATGGAAAGTCAGTCCCTTTAAAGAATGCCAGTCTATCTGCTCTCGTCCACAGGTCCCAGATCCTATGGCACCTGGCTATCCTGAGTAGGGCCAAAGAGCAGGGCTACCAAAGCAAATAATGCCTTTCTCCTGTCATAGGAGGGAAATAAGCAAACCAGTGTGATTTTGTCAAATGTAAACTATATTCCCATACATATACTTAAATATTTGCCTATTACCGGTTTCTACTGGCCAGGACTCAGAATCGACTGACAATTGGTCAAGGAGCACCACACATTTGCAGAAAAAAAAAGAATGTGTGTTTGCAACTCAAGTCACTTTGATGGGTCCAGAAGAAAAAGATGAATCCAGGGGTGCCTCGTGGACCATGTGTGCAGAGTGGGGACGGGCTCCGGAGAGGGTCAGACACACTCTGAGCCATTTTCTACACAACTGCATCCTTCCTTTTCTCTTTTTAACTGGCATGTTTTGCTACTTAGTCCACACAGTGGAAGATGTCTGCCCAGATCTCCCAAGGCTACATGTTAACACCTCGGAGAGAAAACCCGACAGGCCAGCGTAGGTTAGGACTCCGCCCCTAGTCCCATAAGCTCTATCCAGAGGGCTGAGGTTGACAATACAGTGACCACAGGAGGTCCAGCATGTGACCTGGGCATTAAGGCAGGGCAGTTCTAAGTGAGGAGGTGGTGGTGAGAAGCTACTGACACACTGTGTCAGTGCTCCAGCATGCCACAGGGAGCTCCGTGGACCCAAGGCCACCACCACTGAAATCCAGTGGGGAAATTCTGAGCAGTTTTAACGTGTCCTCTGAAAACACTGCAAGCACTTTTTCTTAAACTACATAGGGAGAGAGAGGGGATGCTTTCTACAATATCTCATTTACTCCTATACGACAATATGACAGACTGTTCTGCAGATGACGACACTGAGGCTCAGAGGTTAAGTAGCTGGCCCAAGGTCACATGGCTCATAAATAGTAAAACAAAATTCAAACCTATGTGGCATCCAAAGCCCCATTCATGCTCCGTCCAGTCTTCTACTGTGACTTCCAGATGAACCCTGCGCAGAGATAAGTCTCCCTCACTGGAGACAAACATTCACCTAGAAGCTGCCTGTCATTCTCTGTGCCTGAGACTTCTCTGGGCTCTCAGTTTGCCAAGCACTGATGTAGCCAGTCCCGTGAGGACTCAGGCCACTGCAAGACCCCTGGCATCCCCAAGTCGGAGGGATCTAGCAGGCATCTGACCCAGATGCTCCTGCTCTAACAAACAGGCCACCCCTCCGGTGGAACATTTCAGCCCCGAGCTCCTCATAAAGCTGTAAACTGTTCAAGTGCTACTGATACCATTTCCTGTTTGCATTTTGTGTTTTGTTTTTGTTTTGTTTTGCAGTTCGTTGCTCATCCTAACTGTCAGCAGCAATTGCTTACCATGTGGTATGAAAACCTCTCAGGCTTACGTCAACAGTCTATGGCTGTGAAATTCCTCGCTGTCTTTGGAGTCTCCCTAGGCCTCCCTTTTCTCGCCATAGCCTATTGGATTGCTCCGTGCAGCAAGGTACAGACTGCTTAAGGTGCATGTCTTTGCGGTTCTTTTCTCTCTACTTTGCGTGATCAAAGTTCATTTTGTTCAAATAAGCAGTAATCATTGTCCACATTTAAAGAAAATGGCTCTGAGATACATAGCAAAAGTAGAAACCCCCATTAGAGAGAAAAATGTCAAAATCTGCTTTTCTTTTAAACAGCATTTTTTAAAAAGGGAAAGAGGAATGATAAAATGGGTAATTTTAAACATGTGAGACAATGATCAATAACAGATCAGAGGGAATAAAGGTACTTTTCCTCTTCTAATTATGCAATATTCTACACATGTCCTCCAGACCCACAGTAATAGTAATGACAATATAGCAAGAGGAATACCCAACACTTATTGAGTACTTTCCTTTTGCTAAGTGCTTTTCATGAAAAATACATACCTCATTTCACTTTCTCAATTGCTTTATGATGCATACATTTAATTGAGGTAGGTTCAGAAAAGAGAGAAAACTAGTAGATTGAGAGTCAAACGCAGCTCATATGGGGGCACAGCAGACACAAGTCAACATCTTCCCAGTTTCCTTGGCTTTCTTAATTGGGTTCTGACCCAGACAGACAGCTAATCAGGTCACAAAGAGGAAAAAAACAAAGAGAAGAACTTAAAAGGCACAAAGCTGGGTTCTTTTCTCACGAGGAAGGGAAAGTGGCTGACGTCCACTGGTAACAAAGGGTCCTGTTCTGCCACACACCCAAGCTGCCATCCCTGCAGCCCAGCTACCTGCTCTAAGGCCACCAAAAGCACCAGCAGTCACTCCAGCTGCAGGCAAGAGTTCGTGCCTCTAAGACCAAACCATGCAAAAATTTTGAAATATGTTTCATGAGTTAAGATGGTCATTAAAGGTTCCAAAGCTGCATTTACCTGGTGATATATTTAAGAAGGAATTTAGCTTAAGTAATCAACATTCAGTAGAGGAAATATGACTACAGGGAGATTAGTTCCACAAAAATATGATCAGCTATTGCAGCAAATGAAAGCTTCCTCAGTGAATGGACCCTCTTGTCAACTCCGCCAAGAGAGAACTTGTGCCAGGACGCTGGGCCAGAGACTTCAGGGCTGCCGCCACCGCCGCCTAGCCAGGCAGGCGAAGAACTGGACGCCTTGGAGTAGGAGGGTGTCAGAGAAAAAGGTCAGGACTCAAACCCCTCCTTCCGTAGAACGGTATTGAAAATACAAGTCCTCACACTGAATGTCTTTGGGGCTTAACCTTATCACCATTGAGGATTTTGTTTCTATTTCAGTCTACCATGACATAGATTCCTAAGTCACAATTTCCCCAATGATACATATGTAGGCAAAGGCAATTTTTCCTGTCCTTCATTATAAACTGAAAAAAGTACAGGGAGTGGAAAGGAAACTAACAAGATTTACAGCTGGATTAGAGCTGGTCCTTGGCTTTAGGCACAGGATGTCATACTGAAATTACCTAGCCTGTACTGCAAATTAGGTCACTGCCTTCGCCCAGAGCTGACACGGATGGGGCGCCTGCCTCCACACTCTCTGAGCCCCAAACTAACCCTACATTCAGTCATTAAAATAACCACCGCTTGGTGGAGTATACACTACCAGTCCTCACTTTTGCTGTGAAACTGAATGTGACAGCTTCCAGGAAACAGGGACTAGCCAATACCAGCAAACTGGTTTGCCTCTGCCTGCCTGAGGAAATATTCACAAAGAAATGATATTCCAGGGCCAACTTTTTTGTTGGTCTGAGAAAAAGAATCTTAACCAAAATCATGCAGGTGTGATGGGGGGAAAGTATGTGTGTGAAGGGGAGAGAATTTTGGACTTTCTTGGGGCAAAGTAAATCCGGGAGACTGATACCACATAGAAATAGGGGTCAGAGGTATAGCAGTCTTCTGGAACATTCTAGAAGAAATGACTGCAGGAAAGTTTGGCCCCCTGGTTGGGATTTCCTCTCCTTTGTTCAGATACATGTCTTACGGACATTTGGTGCTCCTGAAACTTCCAGTAAGACTAAGAAACAGAGCACCCAAGATAAACCTCCTGGTCATTAAGCCATTTGTGGTTTCTGTGCACTTTCTGGGCTCCAGGTCAGAGCTCAGTGCAGTGGAGGCTGTGTCTAGAGCTGAGTGACAGGTCTTAGTCTATGGCATGAGATAATTTTTGGTTGGCAACTCATTCTGAGGAAAGATTCTCTCATTAAAATGTTTGTCGAGCCCTGGCCAGCTTGCAAACCTAAAGGTCACTTGTTCAATTCCAGGTCAGAGCACATGCCTGGGTTGCAGGCCAGGTCCCCTAGTTGGGGGCATGCAAGACGCAACTGATGGATGTTTCTCTCCCTCTCTCCCTCCCTTCCCCCTCTCTAAGAAAAAGAAATAAAATTTTAAAAAGTTTGTCAAACTTGCTCTGGGGCTGCCAAAGGGCAAGTAAAATAGTCGAGATATGTTTAGTCTTGCCCTTCACCGTTTAGAAAGAAATCTTTTCAAGTTTGGCAGAGATTACATTACCAGGGATTTCAAAGGGGTCACACCTTCCCGTGAGGAAACCAGCTCCCTCTAAAGGCTCCTGGTGCTTGGATACAATGCCCTCCCAAGAGGACTAGCACCATGGAGAACTCTGTTAAAATGCCAGCATCCCTCCTCCCAGGGAGTCAGTGCCTTTCCATGTGTCTAGTAATTCTATGAAAAGGCCAATGTCATTCCAGCAAGTCCATGTTCTAATGACCTTATCACACCTTCCTCACAGAAATTAGGCCCTGACATTCTATGATAAATGTATTCATAAAATTTCACTGCTAAACCTCATCAACCAGCTACTGTCTATCAATGTCTAACAAATGTTGAGATTTCTGCTTCCAACCTAATGGTGCATTTACTTTCTAATAGTTGCTGTCATTACCTAGGGACACCAAAAGAACTTGATTAGCCTTCCAAAATCACCTCATTTATTTCCTATTGAGTATCCAAGGCTGTCACTTCTACTTTTATAAAAGTTTCTGAGGGTCTCTAAGAAAAATGATTAAGTAAGATTATAAGGTTGAGGGTGTCAACAGAAGTTCACCTTACTACTATGGTGGTTGAAAGGATAACCAAGTCACAGATGTGTAGACGTGGTGATACCTGCAGGTCTGGAGCATAGGATAGGTTTGTCAGTGTCAGTAAATAGAGCAGTGAATTTTTTAAATCATGTCAGATTGTAAACACCAACAGGAGTGGGGTCAGGCAGCCCCTGAGAGGCCAGTGGGCTCTTAATCACATGGATGTTCTCAGGTAGATATTTTCCTAGACAGCTCTCAACAAGGGCCCCAATGCCAAAGGGCCTTTATGATTGATTAGGCTGCTTTCCAGCCTTTACTGTTCCACTCTTATTCATAATTTAGGTTGTTTGCCTGTTTAAATCTAACAGCTGAAAGAATAATGGTCATCTTCAAGGGCTCAGTGTCTCCACAGCAGGTAGACTGGGACAGACGTCAGCATCATGAGCATGTTGAGGAACCACCCAAGTCCTAATTATAAAGGTACAAGAGGAGAAGCCGACTTCCTTTGTTACCTGTTAACCTTCACTGTTCCCTTTATCCTTATGAATTAATCCCAGGGCTCAGGCAGGGAGAACTGTAAACAATTTGAGACTCCTACTGATGTCCTTGTAATGTGAAATCTATCAGTACTTACTGCCACGTAACTCTTGCTTGCAGAAATATCAGTATTAGTCCCTGACCCCAACCCTCAGCCTCATCCCAAAGAGAAACATCTAGTCAGGAAGGCAAGGGTGATTCTACAGCTTTTGAAGATCCCTGCTTTGCCTTTCCAAAGCTAAAACAGTTTCAAGCATGTGGCCCAGGGCCAGCCAGGAGAGGAAAGGGCCTCCAAAAGCCTTGTGTCCCCCTCATTTGTCTCTACCAGAGAGCTACACTGGATTAAAGAAAATCATGATGCAATTTTTGAAGCATTGCCGTAGACGGGAAATTTGTGCCAGGAAATAAGGACATTTTTTGCTCTTTTGTTGCAAAAGCTTCTGCCCTCAAATCCAAAAGGAGAGCCCATCCCATTACCCTGCTGGGATAGGATTTAAGAGTGCCAGAAGGCTGATCACTTTCATCCCTAGCCCAGCCTGAGACCTGCACCACTCTCTCACATTTATTCCCTACCACGGGGTTCGGCCTGCCCCCTCCCCACTAGAAAACCAACAACTGTGAAGGGAAGGACCAGCTCGTACAGCCTGTTTCCCCTCCATCCCCTCCAGTGCCCAGAACCACGCTGCATAGAGACAGTGCCCTAAAAGGGCTTGTGGCATAAATACTAAGGACCCTGGGGAGGCCTCCCTTTGTGAACCCTTGAGTATAAGCTTTTCAAGGGTCCGTCAAGCTTCTTTTAAGTTTCCCCTTAGGGGAACTGCCTGAGGCCTCCAGTGCCACGTACTGAGTGCTTCCTCTGTGCCAGGCGCTGTTCTGCCTCACACGCCTTAAATGAGGCATTCCATATGTCAACCCTATGCTATAAGTGCTCTTTTAGCCCCATTTTTTTACTGGTAAAGAAACTGAGGGATACAAAGGGATTAGGTAACCTGCCAAAAACTATGACACTGAGAGTCTAGGTTTACTAGACTCTCTGACTTCAGGGACCTGACCATAACCCCTTCACACATGTATGCACACACGCATGCAACACGCACAGACACACGCGCACACACCCATACCAGCCTCCCCACCCAGTTACATCAGCAGCATCACAACCTGAATGTAAACACCTTAGCTGCTAACTGACCTTCAAATGGACTTCATTAAAATCTTCAGAGTCAGTGAGACTTTTTAGAGGAGTAAAACCACCATATGACAAATACCACTCCTTCCTCTTCTTTCCCTCAAAGCCCTCCCTTTGAAATCCCACTATTTCTCAGCACCTCTGCAGCCCCTAGGCTGACAGGTAGATTCACAAGGTAACATAAGAAGACCCTGATTATAAACTCCTAGGAACATTCCCCACCTCCAGAGAAAGGGAGATTCCTAAGCCCTAAGTTAGAAATTTCGTACAACATTTTTGGGGAGCGTTCTGAGGAAACTGCCACTAATTTAACCAGATCTCTCTAAAACGTAAGAACCACTCCAGCCTCGAAGACGTTCCTTTTTGGAATACTTGATCCAAAGTCTGTCCCCGTTCAGCTTTCCACCTTGCACACTGAGCCCCTGCCTGAGGCCGCTGGCACCTGGCAACAGTGAGAGCGGCGTTTGGAGAGGGCGACTCTGACGGCACAGGCTGGGGAAGGGTGCGGGGGACACTGCCTGTGGCTTTACTGCAGTCCTGGCCTATTTTGTGGGCACGTGGCCACAGGCTCCAGTTAGGTGCTTACACTTGAGGTGAGGGCGAAGAGCTCCGTGCCATGAGACACGGAGGTGTGCCAACCAGTAAAAGCAGGTGCCCCGCCCTGAGGGTTCTGAAATGCAGTTCATTTGGAGCTAATTCAGGAGCGCTACTCAGTTATTCTGACACTCATATATTGCCCAAAGTAAAAGAATAATGCCTAGGAAAGTTTGGGGTGAGCCAGGCCTAGCTGTTTCAAGCTTGGATTTCCTCACAGGTTCCTAGCTCGATAGTCCAAGTCAAGACAGAGCTGCTGACCAATGGTCTGCACTGCGGGCAGAGCGGGCCAAGGCCTCCACCCGCCGAAGCTCTGCCATCTCTTTTTACACGTATGTTGCTACCTGACCCAACTTTAATGAGATCCCAGCTCAGAGCTGCTGACAAATATTGGATGACTTTTCTCCTTTCTTTTGGCTCACCTGGTGGCCTTGTGAAAGGTGGTTTTCCCAAGAGGAATTTGCTCCAAAAATTATCTTTGTGAGACAAATAGGGAATGTCACAAAAAAGGAAAAAGAAAGAAACCATTGAAATAACTTGATCTCACCTGACCTTGGTCATAGTTTTTCCAGTTAAAAAGATGCATTCGAGCCCAAAAGAAAAGTAGGAAAGAGCATCAATTCCTAACTTCACTTTCCCCCCCTACAGCCTAGATCAGGCAGGAGCTGAGCCCAAGATAACCTTCCAAATCATAACAGAGCCTTATCCGGGTTTTTTTCTTATGGTTTGCTGTAGATAGAGTAATTTTTACAGGTGCCTCTTCTGCCAGAAAACAACTTGAAGGAATGAACAAAGAGAACATTAAATTCCTCAAACTAGCTTTTCCAGGGAATCCCAAGGCAAGCTTGGGTACAGGTGCATGCAGGTTCTTACCATCAGCGGCCACACCCAGGTGAGAAGATGCAGAGAAATCCCCACATCCTCATCCAGGTAGTTACTGGAAGATGCAATGCTATGATGCTACGTAGAAACCCCTAATAAAGGATGAGGGAACCTTAGCCATCAATCCCCTAAGAGCTGTGTCTATCTCTGTGCTCCCTATCTTTGCTGTGACATTTCTGGGAACCCACTGGGACATACCAGAGCTGGTGCCCCTCCCCTCCCCGCGTGACCCTCTCCCCCCTCTGCAGTCATTCTCCCTCTTCCCTCCCCGCACCACTGCCCCAGCAAGGAGACGGTGATAAGGAACAGTGGTGAGACATCCAGAACCATTTAAGGATGTCTCCTGGATACACCAAAGGGTCCCAGAGTCCTGGGTGGGAAACAGGGCTCCAAGATGCCAACACAAAATATTGAAAAATTCAAGCTTACTACTTGAAAGCATATAAATCAAAATGAGACATAACTTAATTTCATTTCTGCTGAATTTATGTGAAATATTTTATGTGCCCTTATATTAATCTCTGCGTTTTGAATTTAGCAAATCTATTTATGGCCAAAAATAATCTAACATCCCTATTTTGTAAATAATAAAGTTAAATGCTACCAAAGGAAAGCCATATCTAAACTGTTCGTGGGCCCCACAGCTTTCCAGTAAACATCTTCTTCCACTTCTGAAGTTATTCTGGTGCCACATGACAATCTGATAATGCAAAAGAATCCAAACAAGTGTCTTCCAGCACAAGCAGGGGTTCCCAACATCTGGACTCAAAATGCAGTTTTTCAAAAAAAATAAAAACTATCTTTCTAAAAATTTCAATAGGTGGGTTCTATGGCATGAGACTCATAATAAATCATGTTACACTAATAGCCAGCATAATTAATGTAGATGATTACCACGCAGAGCATATTATCAAACCATCTGATTTATAAGTATTATGAGGAAAATTTTACCTGGAGAAGCCCTGCAGTAGCAAAGCTCTACTTCCCAGGTGACATTTCACTCCAGGACTCCTGAAAGAGGCCGGATATGGGCAGCAATTAACCAGGAACGGGCTGTGAGTGAACATCAGCCCTGGGGAAGCAAGTGAGCTTCAGATAAGGCTTCCTTCTTTGCCCTTGTCTTCTCAGTAAGCCTGGGGGAGGGGTGAGACTTGGTGCTTGGATGAGGGTGACAGCAGCGACCTGAAAGAGAGTTGAGTGAGTTCATTAGCAGGGGGTCGGCAAAGACTGTGCAGCCCCCCATTTAGTCCTCAAAGGTCTAAGTGGCCTTAGGATGGCATGCCAGGGATAGAGAAGGTGTGACCCGACGTGCTCCCTAACAGGGCATCTTCTGGGTCATTTCTGACTCACTTGAACAACTGCACAAGGAAAATCTGAGTATGTTTCAGCATATTATCACAGTGGCTACAATCTGTGCATGTGCTGGAATAAAATTCGAATTTTTTAAAGAAGAAAAAAGTCCTATATGTCTGGCAACTAAATAACCTCAGAATTAAAAATGAAATAAAAAGGGAAATTATAAAATATTTAATAACTGAGTATCAATGAAAAGCCTACATGTCAAAATTTATGGGAACACAGGTAAGAAACATACAGCCTTAAATAAATTTACCAGATATAAGGAACCCTGAAAACAAATCTAAGCATAAAGCTCAAGAAAATGAACAAAAGAGCAACAGAGCATTTATCTAAAGCGGGTTTTTTTTCCCCTAAATCCTGAGCACTATTGAGACATTACTTTGTCCCCATATCTGAAGGGCATAAAATTCACATCCATCTGGTTGGGGGAAACTGTGCCATGAAAGTGTAAAATGATGATACATCAGCGTGTCCTACTGCTTTCTCCTTTCACACTAAATCCTCTAACTAGGAAAAAGTGAATCGGCAGGAAATAGGTTTGGTCAAGCAGAATCTCACATAAAAATGCAAGAGAAAATGTTACCTGGGTTCAGTCAGCAGTTTCTGTCCAAGACCTGACCCAACTTCTGGCAAAAGCAATGTTTAGAGAGAGAGATGTGCACCCACCTAAGTATCCAGTTTGACATGTCCTGTACATATTTTGTCTCCAGCTAGGACGAACCCTGAGGAGCCCATTCATGAAATTTGTAGCCCATGCAGTTTCTTTTACAATCTTCTTGGGATTATTGGTTGTGAATGCATCAGACCGCTTCGAAGGTGTCAAAACCCTGCCCAACGAAACCTTCACAGACTACCCAAAGCAGATCTTCAGAGTGAAAACCACGCAATTCTCCTGGACAGAAATGCTCATCATGAAGTGGGTGTTAGGTAAGCGAGTCCCTCTATTTTTTATTCTCTCCTCCCTTAATTACAATGGGACATTGTTAAATTCTGACCTCTGAACCCCTCCCTCTCCTCTCAAGTGCACTCTTCGCTTGCAAAATGGTGAGTGGATGACCCACAGGGAAGCCACAGTCAAGTTCTGCACAGGCTGGTGTACAGGATGCAGACCTGTAGTAGAAATCCCAATTTTGAAAGGAGAGGTCGGGAGGAATTCACTACATACTGTTCATCACATGTGCATTCAAAGTGATTGTAAAGTGGCTTTGCATGGGAAAACATACTCTCTTGCTCATTTAAATATAGTCTCCTGGAAGCTCAAGAAACCAAGCTGTGCATCTCAGAGTAAAAAATTGCACAGCTAAAAGATATTACCATTGAATACTGATATGTAGTAGAATCTTGATAATTAATATGACTCTGAAGTCAGGAGAAGGACATTTTTTCACTGTGTAACGAATGTAATGAAGCTGTGGGATTCGTCTTCGTGGTGATGTTCGGCTGCCCAGGCCAGCCACTGGCACTGCCAAGGAATCCGTTCCCATCCCCCGCTGACTAGCTCAGAAAAGCACCCCACTTTTGCCCATCTCATAACAACTATTACTAGTAGAATATAAGCAAGACGAAATGTAACTGTCAATGGCTAAAACTGTACATGACAAAGTGTGTTCTAGATTTTTTCTAACATGGGAAACTTCAAAATTGGTTTAAAAAATCAGACCAGATAGGAGAAAAATGAAAAAATTGCAAAAGCTATTATCAGTGACACTGTATATAATCAAAACCTGATCAATAAATTATAAAACTTAGCTATTATCAAAAAGACAACAGAAAACAAGTGTTGGTGAGGATGTGGAGAAAAATGAACCCTTATACACTCACTGTTGGCAAGAATGTAAATTCATGTAGCCACCATGGGAAACAGTATGGAGGTCCCTCAAAAAAAAAAATTAAAAAGAGAACTACATATGAATCAGCAAGTCCACTTCTGGCTATTCATCTGAAGACTTCCGAAACACTAATTCAGAAAGATATATGCATCTCTATATTCGTCGCAGCATTTTTAAAAATAACAAAGATATGGAAACTCTCTAGGTTTTCCTCAAAAAATAAATGGATAAAGAAGGTATGATGTGTTTACGTGTGCACAATGTTACTCAGCCATAAAAAATAAAAAAGAATGAAATCTTGCAATTTGTGACAACATGGATAGGCCTAAAGGGTATTATACTCAGTGAAATAAGACAGACAGAGAAAGACAAATACCACATGATTTCACTTAAATGTCCAATCTAAAAAACAAAACAAACAAAGCTACACAGAATCGGACTCATAGATACAGAGAACAAACTGATGGTTGCCAGATGGGAGGGTAGAAGAACGGACAATAAGGGTGAAGGGCCTAAGAAGTACAAACTGCCAGGTGTAAAAGTCATGGGGACGTCATGTACAGCATAGAGAATATAATCAATAATATCGTAATAACTATGTATGGAGGCAGATGGTTATTAGAATTAATCATGGTGATCATTTCACAAGGTATATAAATACCTAAACACTGTGTTGTACACCTGAAACCAAAACAATATTGTACGTTAACTATAATTAAAAATAAATTGTAAGGTTTAGATCAAAAAGATCTGAATTTTATGAGAATGTTTTGAGTAAAATAAAACTGAATATAGAAAAGACTAGAAAAATTTATGCAGTATCAAAATTTGATCAATTAAGTTGCACTCCTGAAATCTACCCCAGCCCACATTTGCTTTTGTGACAAAATTTCAATATTGTTATAATTTTCATTACATTTATATTCACAAATGAGTCAAAATGTATTCAGGGTCAGTGTGCCATAAAGTAACAAAATCACAAAAGAACAGGCCAACACACGACCTGGACTAATTAAATGACATAGCCTAAGAGAGCCACAGAGCTGAACCGCTGGAGTGTCTTATAGAACAAGGGTCCTCAATCCACGCCCCCACCAGGCGGAGGACGGGTACTAGTCCGCCCAAGGCCTGTTACCAACCACCCTCCGGTCTCCCAGCAGGCGACTGAGTGAAGCCCACCTGAGCTCCGCCCCACAGCTTCCAAAGTACACCCTGCTTCGGGCCCTCACTGTCCCACTTCAGCCTACCCCACTGCTCACTCGGCACTGTGCATGGACTGAATATTTATGTCCCTAGAAATTCATGTTAAAATTCTAATCCCAATGTGACGGTATTAGGAGGGCAGGCCTTGGGTCATGGGAGTGGAGCCCTCGTGAATAAGATCAGCACCCTTACACAAGGGACCCCAGAGAGCTCTCACCCTCTCTCTGCCATGTGACAGTACGACCAGCAGTAGGCCCCTTGGCCGAGGGGCCTCACCAGAGCCCAAAGACGATGGCAGCTTCCAAAACTGTGAGAAATAAACTCTGGTTCATAAGCCACTCAGTCTGGGGTACTCTGTTGCAGCAACCAAAACTGACTAAGACACAGTCTAAATAAAAAACAGTAACTCACATGTTGCATTTATGGATAAAACTGAAAGTATTTACGGCACCCATCACTTGGCCACCCATTTCCCAATTCGGACCCACCGGGGGAAGACTCTGGTGCAACCATACTTCCCCTTAAGCAGGAACGCTACCAGACCAGAGGTCAGTGGCTCCTACTCATCTAGGACACGCTCCCCACCCACATGGTTCTCTTTCTGTGCGTCAGAGCATTATCCCAAAGGGGCGCATCTCCAGCGACAGGGGTTCGCACTTCTATAGCCTGGTCCCAGCTGCTTCCCAGCAAAGCAGAGCTGAGTTTTTAGGACGATTACATAAGTAGTACTGTAGAGGGGAGGACTTACTTCTCATTACTTATTTCCTATTAATTTCTTTTTCAGATAGAAGAGTCTAACTCTTTTTTCTTACATAGGTAATTTTTTCAAACTTTTAATTATAAATAATTTAAGAATATCAAGAGAAGAGTATAATGAGCCCCATGGACTATCTCTCATCTTCAACAGTTAGCAAGCCCTGGCCAATCTTTGTTTCATTGAAACCTGCCCTACTCCCTTCTCCCAACCCTGTAGTTTTTGCAGCAAATCCCAAGTATCATAAAATTTTACTTATAAATATTTCTGTGTATATCACTAAAAGAAAAATTCTTTTTCTTTTTTTCAATTTTTCTATGTTTCCAGTTCACCGATATTTTTTCTGCATTATCTGTAATTTTAATCTTCAATCAGTGAATTTTTCTTTTCAAATATATTTTTCAATCCTGTAATTCCATCTGGTTCTCTTTTATACCTTTCATACCCTTCCTCGTGATGTCTGTATTTTCCTTCAAATCCTTGAAAATATACACTTACAGTAAATACCTGACTCCTAATTCCATCACCTCTGTTATTTCTGAGTTTATTTCTACTAATCTTTCTCCTGATAAGGATCACATTGTCCTCTGTCAGCAATTTTTGACTGAATGGTGGGCACTTTACATGTTATGTTATTGAGCATCCAGATTTTGTCATCCAAAGAGTTTCTGGCTTTACTCTGACAAGTTACTTTGCAGATGAGTTTGGTCTTTTTCAAGCTTTCTCAGAGCGGATCTGGAGAAGCTCTGCCGTAATTACCTATCCTTACACCAGAGACACACACATCTGGGGTGGTCAGAGCTCAAACATCTCTCCACTCTGGGTGAGCTCCACAAACTATTCAGCTCTCAGCTCTCTCTCGCTGTTGTTAGATTTTACTCTGTGCATTCATGACTTAGTCTTCAAGAAACATTCAAAAGGACACTACGTAAATTTTTAGACTTTCTTCGTGTTTGTTTTTGGTTCTGGGTTTTGTTATTTGCACAACAGCCTCCTCTCTGGAACTCTGCCATGAAACATCACATTACCCTCCTGAACTCTAACCTCTGTCTCTTCAACTAACTGGCACTCCTTCTGTGCTTCTGGGATCCCTCTGCCTGTGCTGCAGACTAGCATGTGCCTCCAAAGAGGAGAAAAGGGGTGATCATGTGGCTTACCTTGTTTAGACGTTTCCCTCTACTTAAGGATCACAGTGTTGTGGTGTTTCCAATGTCTGAAAACAGTTTCTTCTTTCTTTTTCCAGTTTGTGACTCCATGGTGTCTGGTAATAGAAATCAGGACTTTTTCTAAAACAAAACCACAAACATAAGAGAAAATTATTAAGAATTTCTGTATATCTTCAAATACCCATCAAGTCAGGATTCAAGTTTCTTTGATTGAAGAGACAAGTTGAATAAGTATCTGCACAGCTTGCTTTCTCTCTTCCTTCAGAGCAGTTGGACAGATATGAGCATGCCCCATCTCCCTATTCTGCAGGGTGAAATTTAAACAGAGACCTGAAGGAAGAGAGGAGGTAAACTTTGTAGACCCCTGGGTGAAAAGCACTCCAGGGTCAGTATGTGTCAAAGGCTGGATTCAGGAGCAAGCTGCGCATGTTTGGGAACAGAAAAAAACTAGCGTGGGAGGAGCACAGTGAATTAAGGGGTAGAGAGCACAGATGAGGTCAAGAGACAGGCCGGGTCAGATCGAGCAGGCATTGCAGGCCATAGCATGGCGTTTAGTTTCATTCTGAGCCACTGACAAGTTCTGAGCACAGAAGTGACATCATCTGACTTAAGTTTCCCATGGATCCCTGGCTCCGTGTAAAGCAAAGATAATTCTGGGACAAGAGCAGAAGCAGGGAGACAGGTACGAGGCCTCTGCATTAATTACGACAAGAAATGGTCCATTTAGGAGGTGGAAGACAATTATATTTTTGAAGCTAAAATCAATAGTTTTTACTATTGGATTGTCTGTAAGGTGTAAGAGAGGGAAAAAAGCAGTGAAGGGAAATTCCAAGTGTTTTAGCTCAAATAATGGTATAATAGAGAGCCATTTACTAAGACAGAAAAAAAAACAGGGAAAGAGCAGTTTGGAGAGGGAGGTGGAAATCACCAGACATATCTATTACACCAGATATGCACAGAGTAAAATTCTAACAA